ATATGAGTACCACCATCAAGTAGGACTTGGATGAGAGTTGTGAGAAAGTAGACCAAAAGCTTTATCGAGGTATGATAGATAGTTTACTTTATCTCACCGCTAGTAAACCGGATATTATGTTTAGTGTTTGTGCACGTGCACGTTTTCAAGTTTCTCCTAAAAAATCTCATCTAATTGCGGTTAAAAGAATTATTAAATATATAAATGACACTATAGAACTTGGTTTGTTTTATCCTAAGAACACTTCTTTTGATCTTTGTGGTTATTGTGATGCCGACTTTGCCGGATGTAAGATAGACCGCAAGAATAGAGTGGAATATGTCAATTTCTGGGTAACTCACTTGTTTCTTGGTCATCCAAAAAACAAAATTATATTGACTTATCCACTACAGAAGCGGAGTACATTGCCGCCGGCTTGTGTTGTGCATAACTTTTATGGATAAAACAAAATTTAGTTGATTTTGATTTACACTTTGATGATACGAAATTTTTTTGTGATAACACTAGTGCAATTAATATTTCAAAAAATTCTGTTTTACATTCTAGAACTAAGCATATAGATGTACGCCATCATTTCTTAAGTGATCATGTAGAGAAGAAAGATGTATCCCTTGTTTATATTAATACTAAATCACAATTAGCAGACATATTTACCAAGCCTCTTAGTAAAGAAGATTTTTGTCGCATAAGAAATGAGTTAGGCATGTGCATCCTTTGATTGCTTGTTTTGATGTCTTTTGCTTGCTATTAGTTTTAAGTTATCATTTTCATATCTACATGTTTTTATTGTGATCTACATTGTCTAAACATGTTTAAACACACAAGGATACTTAGAGGAGTGGTTGGGAGAGATCTGGGTCAATTCCAAAAGGAGTGAGTTAGTAGTAATGCCTAGGGAGAGGTCGTAAATCCAAACACTTGAGGAATGTGACACGGGTAGGCCAACACTTAGAGGAGTATTTTATGGGTTTTTAACACATGTATATTATCTTGTTTACCCCATTTTGATGTTGATAGGGGGGAGAAATCTATCAATTTGTGTACATATATAGGGGAAAGTCTTATAGATAAGGGAGCAACTATCTATAAGCTAAAATTTTATTTTATTCATGCTCTTGAATAATGGTAGTTTGTCATCATCAAAAAGGGGAGATTGTTAGTTCTCTTATTTTGATGATGATTTACAAACATCATTATTGGTATTAATTGTTTGATTGAGTGATATTATGTAGAATGTATTTTGCCAAGTAAGATAGTGCTAACTGTTAGAGGATTGGATGAAACAAAGAGTTACAACGATGATATCCATGGAGGTGGAGGCAATATGGTGAATCAAAGTTTTCAAGAGCACAATACAAAAGAGAAGCTTCATCAAAATATGAGCAAATATCAAGACCAAAGAATTGTATTCATATATATATGTGAGATATTTGCATCTTTTTATTTCTCTCTAGTGTTTGACGTAGACAAGTTATTGAGTTGATAACATTTGAAGCTCATTGGGTTCACACACACTTTCACAAAAACATTATTTTTGAACTATTTTGAAAAATGAGTAGTTTTTACAATTAGGAAATGATCTTTCAAAAAAAATTTCTAACATGTTCAAAATCATGTTTATAAACATTTCCCAAAGTTTCATATTTTTTGGATTTTATCTGCTATTTTTAAAGGCACTCAAAAACTCAAACTTCATATATGCACAGTGCATGTGCACGTTTACAAGTCGACTTATACCTGAGATAAGTCGACTTATGAACTATGCTGGAATATGCAGAAAACGTCTGCTAAGTCGACTTATAAATCCAGCAAGTCGACTTATATATGATAAGTCGACTTATGATCTCTAGCAAGTCGACTTATATGTGTTGTACAGCCTATAACGATTAGTTTTATAAGTCGACTTATGTACTGTAGCAAGTCGACTGATAGCACTGTAACGGATAGTTTTTGACTGAGCTAAAATTTCAGAATTTTATCTCTAGTTTGGGATTTGGGCTATGGTGTGGAGCTTCTATAAATACCCAACCACCCTCATAACTTCTGAAATCAATTCAGCAAGAAAAAAAAAGTCTTAAGTTTAATTTTCTAAGTGTTCTTAAGCTCAAACTTTCAATTATTAATCCTCAATTGTGTTTAAGCCTTTGTTTTTCTCACTTCCACACTCCACAACCTTTGAGCTTTACTTGTTCATCACTTGATCCTTGTCATAGGATTGTTGTGAGAGTTTTTCCTTCTTCCATTGTGATTGTGTGGTGAGATTGATCTCGAGGAGATCACTTGTGTGGATTGTAAGATCTCAAGAGAAGATCGTTGTGAAGAAGTTTCAACTTTCAAACCGGGTGTGATAGTGAAGTTACCATCAGGAGAGGTGGTCGGAGACGTAGGTCGGAGGACCGAACCTCGTGAACATATCGCGTGTCACTATTGGCTAACTATTCTCTAAACTCTTTCTCTATTTATTGCCTTTGCCTTTAATTTGGTTGGTGTGTTACATTGACAAATTTTAATTGCACATTTATCGTCACATTACCCTATTCACCCCCCCTAGGGTAATTTCATAACTATCACTAAACAAACTTAGACCTGACTCTTCAAATATACTTCCTTGTGAATTAAGACTATCTACGTCAATAGAGCTTTGTAATTTTTCCATATGACCACTACCCAAGTAATGTACTGCCTACTGCAATATGTCCACATTGTACGGTCACCAAATCCAGATTTTAAAGCCCAACTGATAAACCTCAACAATATGTCACTATTATTATCAATTCACCTGTTTCAGTTTTGGCAACAAAGATGTTAAAAATTTTCAACTTAACTTGAAATGGAATAATAACTAATTAGCTAAAACAGTTAAATTAAAATAAAATTAAAAAAGAGGAAGGAACATTGATCAAGAGTGCTATGTAGTTTTGAAGAGTGCTATGCAGTTTCGTTACATGAACTACTGTTGTGTGTGCATGTGTGCGTGTGTCTGCGCGTGAGAAATGTTGGGAGAGGTAGTGATGCGGAATGACGTGAGGGCATCGATCTGCAGTTCTCTTTGTTTCTGAAGAATTTTAGGGGCCGTTTGGAGTGATTTAGGGATGTTTCTGGGACTGTTTGGTCGATTGGATGCACAAGCTTTATAGGACAGCAAGAGGACAAATTTTAGTGGTTGTTTGGTGGTTAAATAGAGAAGAGAATGATTGCAAATTTTAATAATGAAGAGAAGTGATTTTGAACAATAGGCCTCACACCTAAGTGCCTCACACCTGGGGCTTTAAAATCTCGTTTTCATTGTACCTTGCGGAGACTACATAGGGACACTTAAAACTATGCCATGTTTTCTTTCTAAAATATCAACTTGTAAGACAAATTATGTGATTCAGCTTCTAGTAGAGTATAATATCTGAATGTGTGAAACCTGCATTACCCAATGACGATTTATAACTCGAATAGTCAATTTTTATATCATTGAGAGGTTACATGTAAGAGGGAGAAAGAAAAGAACTTGCAAACATGAACAATATGAGTACTAAAGATGAATAAGTGTGAAGCTGCGGTTGCACTTTCTTCCGAAGTGTACTCCATTGGTCTGTATATATGCTCTAGTTAAAAAGTCAATATGCAGTGCTTTTATGTACAAAGGATTAGGAGAAGTAAAGATAAATAAGACAGGGAGGAAGTAACTAACTTGGAGTTCATCGGTATTTTCCCCTCTTGGTTCTTATTTTTCTATTAATTTCCAGAAATGATCTAGGTATATATTATGCAGTTGTATTTGGATTTGCAAAAATGAGTAAGGGCAGAAAGAAGGAACCAGGTAGGATCAGTTCAGGATCATGGGATCCTTTTCTTAGTTTTCCATCAGATAAGAAGGGCTGACATCTCTCTGTTCTTGTTTATTTTACAGAACACATTTCTATTAGATAAGAAGGTCTGCCATCTCTCTGTTCTTGTTTATTTTACAGAATACATAAGATAACACATCACGCAATGATTACTTAAATGACTTTGCTAAATCCTTTATTATGATGCTTTGACTGTTTCAGATGACGAATCTACTATGTAGAACAATCATATGCTTATCTCTCAGCGCATTTAAGTTGACTTGACGCATATGCACTCTTCTAAACTATATAGCATCAAAAGAAAATAATAGCGCTGCAACTAAGTTGTTGTTCATTCATTCATATGCGCTCATTGATCTTTTTTCTTCCATACGGTTCTTATATTATTTTCTTTCATGTTCGAAATATGCTCCTTTCCTTCTCTATGTCACAGACATAGAGACATATTTATTCATAGATTCATCTGTGGCCATATTTATTCATAGATTCATCTATCCCTGTGAACCGGTTTGACTTTGATTTCAATTTTGCGATTCCTTGAACCTTTTACTTCATTCTAACTGTAACCAATTGTTTAATTTTGTAAAGCGAGGTTGAATATAGAGCACAGTGTTTATCTGATTATAGTGAAGTGCTAATTATAATTATTATAATTTTAGATGTTTAGTATTGAAAAGGAGAACTCAAGGAACAAAAATACATATAAGACAATAAGAAGGCTCGAGCCCTGTATGAAGGAGTGTTTGTGAAATCCAAAAGACTTTAGGGACTTTAATTTCACTGACATTCGCACCGTTCCAGTAAATACCAATGTCATCCATGGTCTTCTGCATGTAAACAGACATCACCCATAACATAATGCTATGATTAAAAATGTAAAGATGACAGTATGTAATGCTTTCCCTTGATTTATGGTGTAGAGAATGTCCTGCAAAACCCATCAGATTTTTACAGGACTCTAGTTCTCCTCTAGCTCTTGCAGCGTAGAATATATATATCATTTTATTTAACAGAGCATCAAATGAAATTAGCATCCTGAAGAATCAAATCAAGACTAGCTGAAATGGAATTTCAAATAAGCTTGAAATGCACAAAGATAATCTTCCAAATTTTAACAACATGAATAATATGAAGATGGAAGAATTAAAAAAGAGCTCTAACCGTCCAGTCCCATCTTCTGTTAGCTCGAGCTACTCTTTCCATTCTTCTTGGCCATCGATGCAGCACCAGGAGGGTTATAGTACTCTATATACCAGCGAACAAACCTCTTCAGCCCGGCCTTGAGATCAGTCCTCGGATGATACCCAAGCTCCTTCTGAGCAAGACTAATATTAGCATGAGTGAAGTGCACATCCCCATTCGCCGGCATCTTCACAACTTTCTTGTTGGCCTTCACCTTCAACAACTTCTCAAGAATCTTCACCAAATCTTTAACCGGAACCGGCGACGTATTCCCGAGATTGTAAATCCTAAGCTGCGCCGGCCGCTTCTTCTTCCCCTTTACCCCAGTACTTTTCTCCGCTGTATCAAGCGCACCAATACACCCCTGAACAATGTCCTCAATGTAGGTAAAATCTCTCGCCACAGTCTCCCCTTTCGCCCCCTCAAAGATTGTAATAGGCTTCCCCTTGAGAATGTCATTGGTGAAGAAGAAGTAAGCCATGTCTGGGCGACCCCAAGGCCCATAAACAGTGAAGAACCTCAGCCCCGTGATCGAAAGCCCGTAGATATGGTTATAAGTATGTGCAATCTCCTCTCCGGCCTTCTTGGTGGCCGCATACAAAGAAGCAGGGCGATCAGTCCGGTGAGACTCCGAGAACGGCACCTTAGTATTAAGCCCGTAGACCGAGGACGAGGAGGCCCAGACAATGGCCGGCTGGGGATTCGCGGACTTCGCGACCTCAAAGAGGGAGACAAGGCCAGCAATGTTGCTATGAACATACGAGCTAGGGTTCTTCATCGCGTAGCGGACGCCGGCCTGGGCAGCGAGATGCATGATGTGGGTAAAAGCTACAACATCAAAGAGCTTGCTGAGGAGTGAATCGTCGTTGATGTCGCCCTCGACGACGAACACCCCGTAGCGGTCGAGGAGAGCCTGGCGAGCGCGCTTGAGCGAGGGCTCGTAGTAGTCGTTGAAGCAATCGAGGCCGATGACAGCGTCGCTTGACGCGACGAAACGTGGCTACCGACGAAACGGCGGCTCGGTGACGAGACGGCGATGCCGCCCTTGCGTCGGCTTGGCGGAGTCTCGAACTTTCTTCTCCCACTGCGGTCCGCCCCATGGCGGCGCACGACGACGACGACGACGAGGTCCACAGAGATCGGCGCATCAGCGACGAGGGCTTGGATGATGATGACGACGAGGGAGTGGGGCCCGTTGAATGCAAGAAGAGGAAGAGAGCGAGGGCGCAGGCGCAGGATAAGAACGCGAACCTCGAGAAGGAGGAATGGCGGAGGAGGCGCTGGTAGTTGGGCCTCTCGCCCTTGTACTTCCCCGGCGTCGACGGCGACGAGATCTTATCCATTTCCTTTTCTTGATCTTGGATTCTTGCTTCGTTGAGAGAGGAAAAGGGGGGGAAAGGAGCGACCTTTTTCTCGTCTGGGTTGTTGATTTCCGTTGATTTATTAGGGAATTGGTCAATTGGAAAACATAATATATATTTTTTTAAATGGTCGTTTGCTTTGTTTGATTTTTGTATGTGCGAAGAAGAAGGGAAATGGATTTGGGAGGAGGATGATTCTGATTTAATAGGGAGATTCTTTCGGTGGAGACGCGTCTTTCTCGGCGATTTATTATTTTTGAATTCAAGGACGATGACATGTGGGTCCGACAGTTGCAAACTCAGGGTCTCTTTCAAGTCACTTGACTAATCGAAGTCTATAAAGGCTCCACATCGTTTGCTAATTCCCTCCTTTTCCTTTTTATTTCTCACTTTTTTCTACTTTTAGAGAAAGATAACGACACTCCATCTGAATTTGTATCTTCCTCTGGTCCCTTCCATCTCTTTGTACACGTAAAGAATTTGTTCGGCATTTCCAGAATGCTCCTTAAATTTATATTAAATATACTTAAAATCTAAATAAAATATGTTTTATGAAATGCTATAGCCGGAAGAAAACATTTAATTGAATGATGTTGCGAAAGGTGAGAATCTTTATATCCACTCAAAATAAGATACGTTATAAAGATAACTATGTTGCTGCTACGATCATTCTCTTCAGACCGTTATGTAGGTAATGAATCTGATATATTGAACGTTCTGATACGTTGAACAATTTTTTACAAATAAACATAA